TAATCGACTCAGTGCAATTATATTGTGATAATTTGAATATTATGTTATGATTTTACAAAAATGTGTTGTGTGAATTAATAATTTGGTGCAAATTTGAATTGAAGATAAAGAAAATGGGATACTGAAGCCGTTTTGCACATGTGAAGAGTTTTGTTTGAACACAGTCGACTGCATTAAATATCAATTTGATGACTTTATGTGTGTGATTCTGCATTTGTCATACAGTGATATATATCAATATCAGACTTTACCTGATCGAGCCGGGATCGGCTCTGTATTGGGGCAGGCTCATAGCTCTGTTTAAAAAAAAAAAAACATGCAAAGTCTTATTAAATATACACACATCATCAATTTTAATATTTCATCTCAAACTTTCCAGTGTCAAATCGATGACCAATGGATACAGATGCAACTAAATGTAAACCAGTTTACAAATAAGGGACTGTATGTCAACTCTTATTTATATATTTATATTGTATTTCAGCCTTTCCTCCGAACATTTATTGCATAAAGAAAAGAAATCCAAAACTTAAAGCAACAAGATGTCTTCAATGTGTGCACCGAGTCATTAAGGTGTCATAACAGTCTCAGGGCTTTATTTTCATCACCACAGTCAAACAAGAGGCTAAAACAGCATCCAGAATACACCTGCCACTCAAGTGGTTTAACTGTTTAACGGTTTAAAAATCACATTTATTGTTAGGATTTGGATCGGGCGAAATAATATGGTGCTGAAACCAAAAGGACTAGTTCAATACTATTATTTTGAAGTGTAATCTTGGTCAGGGGGAGGGTCCAAAGAAAATCAATATCACTGGGGAGGGCATATTGTTCATACAGTCCCTTAATATCTTTACTCCTAATTTAAAAGTGTCATGTGTTACGTCGAAAAGGAAATGAGTACCTTTTTCACCACCTCCTCCTCCTCCTGCTTCTTCTCATAGTGGGAAAAGTCATCAAAGAGGGAGGTGGTGTGTTTGTACTGGGCGATGATCTTGAGCACCTGCTTCGCCTTTTCCAGAGGAACCTCTTGAGTGTCACGCGAGTTGGTGACTGGCTTGTTATCATTGTTCTCCAGGCGGATGTGGCGCAGCTGGCTATTAGGCACATCCTTAACAAACAACCAGTTCACGTCAAACTTGCCCTTCCACTTGTCCTGCGCCCAAACGCCAGCGCTGGTGCCGTAGTCCACAGGCGAGCGCATTTCGGCCACGCCGCAGAAATGGCCGCTGCCGTTGACACTGAACAACAAGTAGACGGGACCTTTGGAGTTCATACCTCTGAAGGCCGAGTCCAAGCGCTTATTGCCGTGCTCCGTGCTGCACCAGATGGAGTACTTGATGGAGCGGTGGATGTCGTCCTCGGAGTAGCTTTTGATGATGAACACGCGTCCGTTCTTTAGGCTCCAGTCGAACTCCTTAGGGTTGTAGCTGTGGGCCGCCCGCAGCTTCTCCAGCACCGGGTGGGACTCTGATCCCGGTTCTGGAGGCACACCCCCGCCCCCTCCGTTACCGACACCGCCGCCGTTAGAGGAGCCGGTGCTGTCCAAGCTTCCGCCCCCATAGCACAAGTTGCGGTTGCGTGGCGCTATCCAGCGGGTCTGAGGTGTCGGAGCGGAGTTGTGGTTCTGGTAAGACTGCGGAGGAGGTGGAGGACCCTGCATGGTCATCTGCTGCACGAGGGACTGGGCAGACTGTAGGGACTGTTGAAGGGGGGGTAGGAGACTGGGAGCATGGGAGTGAAGCTGGGGCTGTTGGTGATGGTGGTGGTGGTGGTGGTGATGTGGGGGCAAAGGAGGGGCCATCTTACTAATGGCCCCTTTATTATCCCATGTATCAATGTCCATGTTGTGTTTAATGGGGGGTGGAGGCAGACCTCCTCCAGCTATGGGTGGGCCAAGTTTGTTCTTGGCCTTTTGTTGCTGCAGCTTGGCAGGTTTACTAGCGATAGCGGCCCACGATGTCGGCTTCGGGGGGGGCATTCCAATTGGTGTGCCGCCGTTGCCCGTCGCGACGGCTGCAGCTACACTGCCACCTCCGAGGGAGCCGGCGTTCTTCACACCCGAGCCACCGCCGGTCACGTCCCCGCCTATCTTTAGGCCCAGCATGCCCTGCTCCAGGCTGTTCATACCCGGTGCCTTACTCAGGGTGTCACTGTGGAACCCCGTCTGACCATCGGGGACTAAGGTGCCTCCCAGAGAGCTGGGGGGGTAGCTGTAACTCCCCCCATAGGCCGAGCTCTGAGTCTGCTGGCCCTGAGAACCGCTGGTGCCCCAGGCTGAGAAGGCCGGGTTCTCGGGGAAAAAGTTAAACCTGTGAGGATAGATGCTGCTGCTGAGCCCGCCCGGCTGCCCAAACACCGTGTCGTGCATGAAATGATGGTCTCCATTGTTGAGGGGGGCATAGGGTGTCAGGTAGGGAATCGGTGGGTCACCTCCTGTAGACCAAGGAGCCTCACTGAGAGGGTAAGGAAATCCAATGGAGGGGGCATAGTAGCTGGACAGGTAAGGGTCTGTCATGGATTGATAGCTGTTATTCTACAAACACAAACAGAATTAAGATACTTTGTTAGGGCTACAAGACGCAGCGACATTAAATTATTAGTGTCACAGAAGACATTTCAAGGGTGTTTCCTACCTGATTAGACTGGTTGGTGAGATAAGGCTCAAAGTCATTGTCATGAACCGTGTCCTTCTGGTGGAGGGAGCCATTCTGCACTGAAACTGGAAAGGCTGCAATAAAGCCAAACTGTTGTCAAAGCTGGAATATACACATAAACAAACCTAATGATGCAAAGTCTAAATATCAGAATGTCGTCTGCACAAGTGCTCATAACGTGTTTTTAACATCCAGTAACAGACCAGTGGACACCCCACTCTCTTATATCCGTACTGAAGTCACAGTCATGGTGTTTGGTGCTGTATAGTGATTTAAAATGATTACCCTGTCTGCTGGATAAACATAGCCTTCAGAGGAGTTGACCTTTTGAAAAGTGCACAGTGTTTTCTATTGATAAGCTGTTTGCCTTTATGTGTATGCATGTTCATTACAGCATGCAAAGCAAACACATGGATGACAATATGGAACAATGCAAATACAGTATGTAGTGCTGTGCAGACATTTGTTCCTCTGTTGACATAAAAGCTGCATCAACACACAGGTCAGATGCATCAGATATATGGTATCAGATGGTAAAACAGGTTGCCACATCTTTGGCTACAGCAAAAAGGTTCAGAAGACATTTTCTTCTTACCTTTGCTTGCATCTTGTCCTTTCGTTGTCTTCGGAGGAATGCATGTGAAATGAGAAAAACACAACGCTTGCATGGGTCTCCAATGTTATTCATAAGCATCACACATTATCTTAGCTGCACAGTGACATGTTAATACGTTTCATCATGGAAACCTGACTTGACACATTACAGTAAACCGGTAACGCGTCAGCCGGACACCCACTGGAAGCTGTGGTCCAGGCCTTTGATTACTATCAGAGAGCACATTTGGAGGTTATCTACCCTCCCTGTTGGCTAACGTTAGCTGGCTAGCTTTGGGAATGGAGGCACCGTCTTCAGAGTGGGGATGCACACAGACGTGCACACAGACGTGCACACAGACATGCACACACAAACGCGCGCGCGCGCGCGCGCGCACACACACACACACACACACACACACACACACACACACACACACAC